CAAAAATAGTGAGCTTAAGGCCGTCACTCTGGCACGGGAAGAACCCCTTTGTGAGTGGGAGATGTTTGTCCAGTCAGAGTTCAGAAGAAATTCGGTGGGATGTTTTGGGATGGAAAATTCGCAGAAGATGTTTTCTGGGTAAACCGTGGTTTGATTTTCCAACCTCCTTTATATTACAAAACCATCTAAAAGTTTTTTTTAACGCAGAGGTCTCCATTTCAGAATCTAACCAAGCATTTTTTCCCAGTGTTCTCCATCCCCATTTCTGGTGTGAATCTCAAACAGCCCTGAAGCCCTGCAAGCTTCGGGCCTCAACATGAAATCGATGGCATTGAACCAGGGGCAACTGGTCGCTCCTAACCACCAATAAGCCCTAGAGAGAATTGGCTCCGTAGCATGGTTGGTTTTACATCCCTTTTTGGATGGCTAGTTGTATCATTGTTCCTTACCAGATAGAGATCTCCAAAAAATAGAACAGGCTGGATTTATCACTATTTCAGGACTGACTTTATCTAAATTCTACAGTATTTGTTTCCCTGATCATCCTCATATTGTTGCTATGTTTTCGCGTATCATCCACTAGTCTTGCTTATTATCCCAATGTTTTCCTTATCATTCCCAATATTTGGGTGAACTTTCCAGAAGTACCATGGTCAAGTGTTGGATTACCATTCGCAATATTGGGGAATGGGAACATCAATCCATTCATAGGACTTCATCTACTTAAATCACAGAATTGGATGATGGGAACATTTACAGGAACCCCCATAAATTCCCATCTTTGATGATAAAAAACATGTTAAGACCATAGTTTCCGGTGAAAATTTTCCCAAACAAACCAATCCATTGGCATTAATCATCATTATTCATCATTAATCATCATTAATCACCATTAAAAAAGAACAGGACACCCTTATATTTCATGAGGAAAACCATAAAAATAGCATGTTGATCCCCAGCCCGAGGTGCGACGACTTAATTTCCGGAGGTGCTCCCTAGGGGCGCCCCATATCTTAAGACTTAAGGAGCATGGTTATTAATGATAGTTATATGGTGCATAATGGTGCATAAGTATGGTTAGATACTTAGAAAAAACTTAAATATGGGTGATAATCATAGTTATGGCTGATCACCATTATTGGTTCTATTTTACCATGGTGTTCACCTTAAATATTGGTAAACTTATTATGCAACTTATTGGTGATCATCATAGTTATAACCATGTACTACCATGTACTACCAATATTAACTAATGATACATCATACATGGGATGACAGGTTATAGCTATGATAATACTATGATAATCACTATCGTATAGTTATAACTATAGGTATAACTATAGGTATAACTATGGTAATCACATGGTATATCACTATGTTATAGTTATAGTTATAGGTATAACTACCAATATCACTGAGGTGAAAACATACCTATAACTATAACAGGACTAGGTGATCATCAGCGTGGCGAAAAAATGCTGCGGCTCTAGGTGCAAGATCCAAATGAGTTTGTGAGGATCCAAGCGACCCTGGAAACTTGGAGCAAATTTGAAGCATAGCCATCTAAAACAATATGACAGAACAACAAAATCTCTATAATATATATATTATATATAATACAATATAACATAATATAACGTAATATAGTATAATATGAAATAATATAATATAATATAATATAATATAATATAATACAATACAATACAATACAATAATATATATATATATTATAGGTATTTCATGGGTCTATACCAGCTTTTTTTCTTCAGCAATCCCACTATTCTTGCCATCGTGCTGACCATGGGTATGCGGGTTCATTAAAAACCGCCAATATATGAGTGGTTTATTATTGCTTTACTAACATTGGTGTAAATGGTGAACATCACCCATATACAATCCATGGGAAATGTGTGAGATGTTCGTATATATATATATATATCTGGCACATACCATGGTTATTACCCAGTATCATATAATATGCCATAAATTCCTTTACGCTATAGATATATTCCATCATTGAAAATCATGACAATATACTATATAGATACATTAGATAATAGTATGATATGTATGATGTAATATGCTACATAGATAGATTGTGTATACTACATAGATACATTAAATATCTAGATATACAGTATAGATACTATGCATGATACTATTTTAGATATATGTAATAATAATAATATCCTCCAGAATCTTCCAACTATATCCTTTATATGATTTGGTTGGTGGTTTGGATTTTTTATTTTATTTTTCCATCTGTTGGGAATAAAAATCCCAACTGACTTTAATATTTTTCAGAGGGGTAGGCATACCACCAACCAGGTAATAATGGTTAATGATGGTTAACAATGGATAATCCCAATAAATGATCCCAATAAATGTGGATTATATATTCTTGTTGTTGGGATCACTATCTCAATAAGATATACAGTAGTTGGTGGTATACCTACCCCTCTGTTATAGATCTCAATAGATGTTGTTTCCCAATATTCCAATATTATAGATGATCTATTACTAAATGTTTCTTATTCTTATTGTTTCTATTAAGAATATATATATTGATAGATATATCACCTATAAACCATAGTTTCAGAGGGGTAGGTATACCACCAACCAGATATGTGACTATATATAATCCCATCATATAACCATATATAATCACTATTATTGGTATTACAACCACTATTTCCATGGAATATATGCCCATCCTCCAGTTATTCCCAGGAAGGCCGCCGTCAGCACGCGGAGCTGGACGTGGTGCGCCCCGTGAGCCAAGCGCGGCGCCTGCCGCGCGCCGCGGCGCGCCGGCGCCGTCGGTGGCGCCGGGGCCGTCCGGCGCCGGGCCGGATCCACGGCGGCGTAGCAAAAAATGGCGGAAATCCACGAGAAAACTTTGAGAATTTGGGAAAACATAGGGGAAAAGAAACTACTGGTTGGTTTGGAACATTGGGAATAGTCACCACCAATATTTTGAAAATAGTCATCCCAGTAATCACTATAACCATATATAATCACTGCTTGGTGGTGACTGGAACATTGGGAATAGTCATCCCAAGTGTTACTCACCCCATGATTTTTCAGAGGGGTTGGTATACCACCAACCAGACTATTTTACGGAAAAAAAATATGGCAAAAGTCAAACTATGAGAATTTGCATGACAATTTGCAAGACATAGATGTGGGAAATGGATGGGACAATCTATGAACATGATTTGTTTTACACGAGGATGGCTCAAAACCTATGAAATAGCATCAATTTTGGGGGACATCCAGCTATATCAACTATTTTGATTTGAATGGTTTTGACTTCTATCCAAATATTCATTCCGACAGGGAAGATGATCAGTTTCGGCAAATGGAATAACAAAACATTTCCTAAGAATATGGGAAATATGCGATGAACAGATATGACACGTGAAGTATGGGTACAATGGGGATGTAATAATATAGGGAGAGATAGCATATTTCTGGGTTTACCTCTCAGACATGTCAGATTTATGTCAATTTCTAAGGAGAAAATGGTGGATTCCGAAGGCACGGTAACCAGGTCTCAGGTGTTGTGGCAACTCGATGCCAGCGCAAGTTCCAAGAGTTCATCACGAGTGGAAGATGTCGCAGAGAAAAGATGTCCAAAGATGTGCTTAGTGGTCCATCCCAGCTGGGAGGGGTTGTTGTAACTTACCACATCCAGGCTAACCCTACCCTGCTTATGTTATACACTATTTACTAGCTGAGACTAACCCTACTTGCCCTACTGGTTAATAGCCATTGCTGGATTGACCCTACTCACCCCACTTACATCTACTTACCCTCTTTCTAACGTGGCTTCTCAACTATTGAAGAACTGGGATGAACCACCAAGTGAAGGATACCGTCGCCTGATGGCCAAACCGCGAATTCTAGCTTGCTTCTACCTGGGTCGAGACTGATTTGGTTTGGATGGCCATGTTTGGCATTTTTATAGGGGAACATTCATTTGCTATGCTACTTTATTATTATTATCAGTATTTTTAAGTGTTATTGTTACCGTTATCGCTGTTGTTATTTGTTTGTCATTTACAAATTTATTTGTTTTATATATATATAACCTCAAGATAAGGTTAGCCACGAGAACGACAAGTTGACTAGCCCTTGACTTTCCATGCGAATCATAAGTGTTCGGTTACTTTTACCCAGATCCAAAAAATCCTGGGGGTTGGCTGGCCCCCTCAAACGAAACGCCTGGTGGAAAGCTTTAGATCATTCATGAATTGAGGTCCCTTATTTGGGGGTAATGTCAACCCTGGATTAGCCGAAACCCAATTTTCGGCTGAAATGACTATTGGAGGAGTACCGGAGTACCCCCCTAATTGTCATAAACCATGGTTAAGCAAAATCCGGGGTTGACATTATCTACTATGATCGGGGCATGGGACTGGGAAATGCATTTTTGTGGATTGGGCATTTCCCTGTCGGACATCGGAAGTACAGTTGACGATCAAAGATGTGGGTTGTCAAAATTGAAGACTCGGAAACCACCGCTGAAAAAGGGTAATCGTTAGGATCGTAAACCATTCACAAGATTCCACAAGTTACAATTCTGACTCATGTGTATATTATAGAAAGGATATCGAAAGACTTTGAGATCCACTAAGCTTGGAACGGATTGGAAGGACCCGTCAGATCGATCACCGATCTTTCTCCCCGCAGCCTGATCTCTGACAGCGGCCTGGTGAAATTGTGTTTTCCACATGCTGCGTGAATTCCAGCGGGAAGCGCAGCGGGTGGTCAAGGTGCCTTGCTGAAAACGTCGGTTTTTGGTGCTGAAACAGCTGAAAAAATGTAAACCATCCCAGACTGGCAAAGAATTTTTGGATGGACAGTGTCAGTGGTAAGTTGGCCCAAAAGCTGAGCGCTTCAATGGGGCCCATGACTTCGCTGGACGGAGATGAAAGCAGGCAATTCGCAACATGGAATCTAAGGGTTTAGAAAAGACATTTACTTTGCGGTTTACCATGTTTCGAATGAAAGGACCGCAGAAAACTGAGGTCTTCGACTATGAAGGTGAACGGTGCCTCGCTACTTTGCCTTTCTGTGCTGGTCGGGCTCCATCCTTATCGACCCTGCAGCAGGAAGCAGCGCGTGCGAAGGGCACGTCCGGCGAGCGCATGATGTTTCTGGGACATGGAAGTCTCCTCAAATAGGGGCACACCATTTTAGTCTTGAAACCAATGATTTTGGGGATCCTCCATTTTAAGAAACCCCCACGTGGATGTTTCAAATTCTTCTCTTCTCTGAACGTTGGATGGGTAGCCAAATAATACAAGTTCCAAACAAACATTAGAGAAAGGATGTTAAGAATCTTGCATCTGAAGAAGGATTTAAGGCAATTTTACCTAGCCTAATGTTATCCCCGGATTAACAACCCCCTCAGCCGTTTAATTGGGGTGGTACCATTCCAGTAGTGGATTATCAGCCAGGGGTTAGTCTCGTCCGGCATCAAGGTCAGTGATTTTTGGTCATGCCGTGCCGTTCAATTGAGGGGCACTGATTGCATTGGTACTTGGTTGTTTCATGTTGTTTCATTGGCTAATCTGTCGACAAAATGGTTCCATTTTTTTCAGTTTACAACCTCGGACGGTGGGACTTTTTTCTAAAGGATTGAACTGTATGCAAGACCTCTAGGATAAATTTTGTTTTGGAACCAGTTTGTTTTCAAAGGATTTGTCCGTGACACTCTTCATAGAATGAACACATAGTCACAGACATGTTTCCATCCTGGAGAAGAATGATTGAAAACAATGCCTGGCGGTGATTCAATCTGGTTTCTATTTATGCAATACAGTATCTGTCGAAGATGCGCACCCATTTCTCTTCTTTTCTTTACAGTCATACAATAATTTAACAACACAATATATGATTTATGATATACATTGATATACCATTGTAGCGAAGTGAGAGCCGCATTACTAATAAGTACTAATCATGGTTGAGTGGTTGAACAACACTGCACTTTGGAATCTGCCAGTTCTACATGTACTTTCCGAGCCAGGCATGTCCGAAACGCCGCACTTGTGAATCCAAAATCAATGGACATGTTGGGAAAATCAAGACCAGTGGCTTGTTGGTGGTTTCAACCTTAGAATTGGGATGATGATTTTCAAGGGGTGGACATTACCAGCGTTTTTTTCAGGATAAACACGGCGTTTTTTTACTGTTTGGATAAACAATGGCCTTCAGGTTCCGCTCGTTCAGGTTCCGCTCTGAGTCCCAGAATGGTCCTAGCCTTGTTGTGAATGAGGGCCACTTGCAAGAGCATGCTCGCGAACAGCCTGGAGATCTGATGCTGAGACTCCGAAACCCTCCACGAGTCACACCAGGGCAAGACCATGATCCTTCTGCCAATGAAACCGATGGAACCCATTTTGCAATTTTTGGCCCAGCAGGACACGCGAAATTGAGAAGTAGACTTGTCATACTATCCTTCCACTTGGGACTGGAGATGCCCAGCTCCATGTTGGGTCTTGAAACGGCTTCTAGGAATCATCGATGATATGGCCTCAACAAACCCTGGTACCCCTCAACAGCTCTTGATTCCAGGACACACCCCCTGCACTCGCGATCGTTTCATGCAGCGAGTCCATGAAATGCTACGTGAAGGGGGTTGGGATGAGAAGGCTCTGGTTTTCCCACCCTCTGCTGCGAGGGACGTCATGCGCATATTTGCAGCTCACAAGGTAGACATCTTGCAGACCAGCGGCAGCGTGGCACTGCAGAAGGCGTGGCATGCGCGACTTGGCCCATCAGTGGTGGGTGGCTAGGGTGCCGGGTCAGCATTTGTTGAGGGGTACAGAAAATTGAAGTAACAGCCACTAAACTCATTTGTCCTGTGCCACATCTTCTGAGTAGTTTGAACCCAGAATTCCACAGGTATGTTGGCGGCGCTGCTGGCGCAGTGGCTGGCGGCCTAGTTTGGCAGTGCAGGCCATTGATCATCCGTGGCCTTACCCACGGCCTTCGCAGTTTCTTGGCCCACCGAAATTGAGATTTTCAGATGGGTTTGTCTGAAAATGGGGGATCCTCAAATTATGATGGTTTATCATGTTTATCATAATTTGTCACATCAAATGGCCATTTGGATGCGATACTTTGCAGACCCAGTTGGGGATGGCTCACCAAAACAACTCTATTGGCAGAGCTGTTTGGAGCCAAAGGATAGTTAATCTCCCTAGTTGAGGAGTCAACTAGCCCAAGTAGTCCTCGAGATCAATTTTTGGTACCTGTGGGCCCTTCCACCAATAAACACATGGCTGATTTCAGCCATGATCACTGCAGAGGTTTCATGAGCGCCGAAGCGAGTGGAATTTGGGCCACACGTCTTGGGAGTGTTGCCTGTGGCAATGTGGCTGGTGCAGCTGGGGTGGCTGTCGGATGTGCCGTCTCGGCAGCGTTGCCTTCCATGTTCAAGCAGCGCTACCAGGTTGCTGAGCCTCATCCAGTGGTGAACGGAGGGAGCTGCTCAGAGCCCTAATGAGGGAGCTGTTGGGAGATATGGTTGTAATGTGGTAAAGCCACTAATAAACAATCCCAAATAGAGATTTATTATTGTTGGGATGATTTAAAATGGCCCCAAATGGTTTGTTAATGGAATGGTTTATGGCATTGGGTTTATCACTTTATCATACTTTATCAATATTCCCTTTTCAACGGGGAGCCAAGGAGCTACAACTAGAGTTTCCCAGCCACATTAGTTTTGTTTGACCCTTTCAAACCAACAGTCCTTGATCCAGTGTTAAACTCGCTGGGCGTATGTGTGTCTGATACTGGGTTATATATATATATATACACCATTTTTTTTTCGC